TCCAGATACACCAAGGTTGCGGGTTCAATCCCTGGTAAGGGCACATACAAGAAGCAACCAATGAATGCATGAATAAGCAAACAACAAATCCACGTGTCATTGTTTTTTTCCCTCTTTTTCTCTTCCTTCCTCTTTCTCTCTAAAATCAATTTAAAAAATCTACAAAAGTTGTTATAATTGAGATATGATCTTATTTAACTCCTTGGTTCTAATCTTCCTTTCTCTTTCCTGTTTTTCCATCTTTCTTAGTTTATATAGTTACTTATAATGCAAAACCATGATGCATGTAGAATTTTAATCTCAGTGGAAATCTAACTGCACCACTTGAAGTTAATTCAAACTGCAGAGATAGACAATCAAGTAGCTGGCCTAATACAACTTTTGTTATTTTAGCAAGTTTTTATAATGGGTATTAGCTTATTTCAATTTATAAAATAAACTAGCATGTTAATAAAGCAAGAAAGTTTTTGAATAACTTTAAAATTGTTTTTTATTTTTGAATTTTGAAAATGCACCTTCTATGAAGCACACACAAATGTTGTGTGTTTGTTACAGTTACAATAACCTGTGTCTCCCTTGGGCGAGGGAGTGAATCATAGTCAGAGGAGCCTGTACCTGCACACAGGTGCGCACTGACAACCGCCACTCAACAGGCTGGGCAAGTTCACCTGCTGCCTGCTATGTTGATGATGACAGCAAGGACAATGATAGTAATAAGAGCAGCAAGTACTAGAGTAATTAATAACTAGTCCAGGTAGAGTACCTTACAAAAGTTATCTAAGTTAGTCCTCACATCTGCTTAATTCTAGGCAATATTATCACCATTTCATAGATGAAAAAACTGAGCCCTTAGCCAGTAAACAGCAGAGCTGAAATTCATACTCATGCTGCTCATTTTCTGCATACCATCCCTTGGAGCCTTGTAATTGGACACCTTTCCAATAACCTACTTAATGGCCTTCAAAAAATATCCATCTAGCCCAGGCTGGTTTGACTCAATTGTTAGAACATTGACCCTTGGACCGAAGGGTCACAGGTTTGATTCCCGGTCAAGGCATGTACCTGGGTTGCAGGCTCCATCCCTGGCCCCAGTGGGGGTCATGCAGGAAGCAAACAATCAATGTGCCTCTCTCACATTGATGTTTCTCATTCTCTCTCTCTCTCTCTCCCTCCTTTGCACTCTCTGTAAAAATCAATAGAAAAAATATCCTCAGGTGAGGCTTAACAAAACAAACATACAAAAATATCTATTTATTCATAACCCAACAAGCCAGACTTGAGGTGGGAAAGCCTAATGTACTTACACAATCACATCTTGCTAACACGTGTTTGATAATATTATCCATTCTGCTTAATTGTGCTCTCTGAAAGGATCTAGTCTCCTCAATGGAATACATTAGAAAAGAAGGCTGAGCAGGTGAGCAAGAAAATGAAATTAGGCAATCCTTATTATATATCATATATTCTTAGGAAAGAGTCAATTCAACACACACACTATCTAGCCATAGATGTATAAGACACTCTATAAAGTATACACAGGAATAAGATAGTGTCCTACCTGCCAACAAGTCATTACCATTTATCTGGAACAAACAGATATGTACACAATTATTGATGATAAAGTAGGATCATTATCACTAACATTTATTGAGCAGTTTGGTTATATCCTAGTTGCTATTCTAAGTATTTATGATTATTTTAAAATCTCACACCAACTCCAATTATTATCCCCATTTTAGAGTTGTAAAAGCAAAGGAGGGTAAGAGACTTGTTCAATATCACACTAGTAGTAACCAGGAAAACTTATTCAATGCAGAACGAGCTTTACAGCACTGTTCTGGTCTCTGTGGCGGCCTTGGCCGAAGAGAGACTGTGACAGGGGCTGTAAGAAGGTAGAGATTGAATTCCGAGCACATGAAACAAAATTGTAATATAAGAATCCTTCTCAGCCAAAAATAAGTGATCTTGATGTTATCTGTTTATCTCATACACTTTGATAGACTGAGAAATTGACTAAAAATGGACCCCAAACTGGAATTGGTATTCCAAAAACATTGTACGCATGAACCATGTAGACTAGCTCATGAAAGAGGCTCCTGTGGTCTGTACACCTGTAACTTACAGTGTCAGGGGAAGTCCTTATACACCTGGAGAGTCACTGAGCAAGGATGAGGAGAGAATTTCCATGGGAGGTAATCTTGACCCATCCAAATAGCCACTTGCCATTTTCCAAAGAGCAACTGACTTCTCAAAGTATATTCTAAGGTTCAAATTTACCTGGAACCTACCATTCCTTAAAGTTGGAGTTGCAAAGCTGGAGAGGTTTTGTGGGCCTGTGTTTTACAAAATATTATTTATATACTTAAAGAAAGCTTGCCATTTTTAATCCCTCTCTACCTGTTACTTTACACCTGGCCCATTTTGAATTTTAAACCCAGACTCTATACATTTGAGTTAATAAACTCTACTTTAATGTCTGTCCAAGTAAAATTTAAACATGAATAAAATGATCTTTCCAACACATTGGTCAATCCATACTTGACCTTCTATCTCTGTGGAGCAAGACTCAAATAGAAGAGTTGTATTAAAAAAAATCACAGAGATCTGGAGTCGACCCACTGCTGAAAGTGAAGCTCATTCTACCTCTTGGAATTCAGCCATCGAAGCACTTTGACCCTAATTGATCATATTCCGTGCCAGAATCCGATTGGGAGTGGAAAGAGAGCCTAGAGCTATTCTCAATGAATGAAGACCAAGTGGCCAGTGGAGAAATACACAAAAAAAGTTATAACTATCATCATTTCTGAAAACACGATCGAATGTACTGGTGGAGGAGAATGAGTGCATGGAGTGAGGCCACACAGTTTCCATTCGAAGCACAGAGACTGCACATCGTGTCACCTACCACGGCTAGGGGGTGAGCGATGAGTCTCCACCATAGTGCAGAACCTCTCAGACAGGAGTACCCAGTCTTCCCGAGATTCACACCTGTACTGCCTTTTCTATAAAAAGACATATTTTTGCTTTAAAGGCATTGTATTTGAGTTAGGGTGTTTCTAACTGACTTTGGGCCATTCAACTCTGTCACAACCAAAGCTTCACAATAAAAGTATATACACTCACACTAACAGCACTTGAAAAAAGGGGAAGACAGGTCCTTCATTAAGCCTATCCATCACCATTCCAACACGGCCCAGCCTGTTTTTTCCATGAACAATTGAGAACACATGCATCACTGAACACATTAAAAGGCAAAGAAATGTAGAAAGCAAAGGCTCACACTTCAATCTTAATGACCAGCATTGCATGAGTTTGTAATAATGTAAATTCTTGATGGATTATTTTCAAATTAAAACTGGAACCAATGTCGCCACGTGCTATTTCCTTCATTTACAATGCTCTGATGTAGAATTCATTTAGTATTTAATGACTCTCAATAATGCAAAACAAAAAAATCCATTAGTTTACAAAAAGCAAGGTTTGTTTCTATTCTAAATTTAACTCATAAGAGGAAAAAAAGACATAAATTCATTCCATTTATAGTGCTGTGGTCTATTTTGGCACCCACAGTTTGAAAAGGGACAGAAACAAACAGAATGAGAGTGAAAATATGTTGCTGAGAGAACAAAAGACAATACTCTATGCACAGTTAAAGGATTCAGGAATATTTAAGATAATACATAGGCAAAACTGTTCCAATGTCTCCCTGGGCTTGATTGTAGCACCCAGTACTTCTGTCTTGATACTCATCATTCTCAGTTGTTACCCCTTCTTATTAAAATTTTTTTTTTTCCTTTATTGATTTTAGAAAGAGAGGAAGTGAGAGGGAGAGAAAGAGAGAAACATCAATGAGAGAAAACATCGATTGGCCGCCTTCAGCATGCCCCTCACTGGGCATGTGTCCTGACTGGGAATTGAACTGGTGACCTCTTGGTGCATGGGTCAATGCTCAACCACTGAACTACACCAGCCAGACAGTTACACCTTTTTAAAAATCCTCACTAGAGGACATGCTTATTGATTTTAGAGGGAGAGGAAGAGAGAGAGAGAGAGAGAAAAACATCAATTGGTTGCCTCCTACAAGGGCCCCAAATGGGGGATAGAACCACAATCCTTAGATGTACAGGATTATGCTCCAATCAACTGAGCCACACTGGCCAGGGCTGTTACCCCTTTTTAATTGTCATATTTATTAAACTATAAGCTCCAGGAGAAGGTCAAGAACCTGTCTTCCCTGCTTACCTTTGTATCTACTACACCTATGAAAGTGTCTAACAACAAGCAGGAACTTTACATAGTTTTATGAATGACTGATAGACTAAAGAACTGACTGTGATTGAGTGTGGCCCAACATGTAGAATTAACTACTATGTCAATTTTGGTTCAAGAAGAGGGTAGACCTTTTCTAACAGTCAGAACCATTTAAAACTGGAAACGGCTGCTGGGGTATTGTAGTAGAGGAGATATCACAAATAAGCACGGGTGTAGTAAAGAACCAAACCCGGGGGCCCTAAATTACACCATACAATCTTTAAGGAGCTCGCTAACTCTGAGGCTCTGTGATTATAACGTAGACCCTTCCCAAATTTGGGAGGTAATTTGAACTAAAATCAAGATCCTTTTCTGTGATCAGAAATACACAGATAACTTTCAAATAAAAGAGATTCAACTCTCACTTACCTTCTATTTGGCTATACATTTATCTGCTTCAGTTGAATCAAAGGTAATATGGTATCTGCATTACTATAAACTTTTACTTTTTCTATTTCCTGTGTTTTCTTTCAAACTGCCTGGGCCCAAGGGTTGACTTAATAGATTCAAAATGGCATTCCTTACTAAAAAAAGCTTTAACATTCTGGCCATAAGTAGGAACAAAGTATACCAAAGGGAATTAATAAAGTCCCTTCACCCTCACACCACTGTATTTAATCATAGAAATAATCTCTATACTTCATGAAACCAGTGTCTTTGTTTAATCACAGCAGGGGTAATCCACTTACCACAAAAGAATAATGGATCTTGAATCCAGGCTTAGCCACAAAGTAGTCATCAGACTTAAATGTTATTTTGATTTGGTTTGTTCTTGATGTTATTCTTGGAGGAACTTCCTTGTGTCCACACCATCGTCCTCTGATAATGGTACTGGTTTCTGATATATCTTCAACTTCCACAAAATCATACCTAGTATCAATTTAACAAAAATAAACACATTTTGATTAATGTAGACCTTGAGATTCATACTTTCACTGAGAAGTTAAAACCAACATATGTGATTTTTATGATCTACCAGATGAAATAAAAATTATAACCTATAGACATTTTATTTTTTTTATTATTTTTAATATGTTTTTATTGATTTTTTAGAGACAGAAAAAGGGAGAGAAAGATAGAAACATCAATGTGAGAGAGAAACATTGATTGACTGCCTCCTGTATGCCCCCAACTGCGGATGGAGCCACAACCTGGGCATGTGCCCTAACCAGGAATTGAACTGGGACCTCTCAATCCATGGGGTGACACTCATTCTACTGAGCCACACCTGTTTGGCACCTACAGACATTTTAAAAACAAGGCTAGCTTTTGGATTAGGTTTTCCAAATTCAAACTTCCACAATTTATTCTGAGAGAACCTTTATACACATTTAGCCATGACTGTTCTCAAATCATTAATAATCAAAACAGGCTACTTTCTGAGCATCTGGCTTATAAAGTTTTCCCGGAAAAACTAATAACTATACTCTATCATCATATTTGCAAAGATGCAGCTCTAATTATATGTCCAAATATTTACTATATTTAGTTTTTAAAACAAATTCCCATTAATTTACCACATTCAGTACTTTATTTAAAAAGGAAATGATCTGTATCTGTAGAGCACATAGAATCAGCACTTTCATTACACAAAATAAATCACTAACTTCTCTTTTTGGAAACTTTCTCTTGAAAGGATAATATCATAAAACATAACTTGTATCATAATGGAAAGCATATGACTTGGGTAGGGATGTGTGATAACCAACACTATAAATATCTGGGCTAGTTAAACCAGGGTGTGAATAAGCTTAAGACCATAGGTTCCCCTTTGGCACTGGTCAGAGAAACAAGAATGCCAGGATTGAAAAAGGCAGGAGAGACCTCTTTAGATATTCCATGTAACCATCTGATCCTTGAAGTCCCTCCATCCCACCCCCCTTTCCTTTACTCTACCTCTGCCCACCTGACTTCTCAATGCAAATAATCTACATTCACAGTGAACAGTAGCAAGTGAGGCAGATGAGTAAGAAGCTAGGAAAATTCTTTGACAGGTGGAAATACACATTCCAGACCATGCTTGGGCACACCCTCCTCAGTCCAGGTCCCTCTCTGGTGATATTCTTTGCAGGTGAAACTGACCAGAGAAAGACCCTAATCCATTTATAAGTTCATTTTGATACACTGCCATATTAAAGGATATACCTGGAAAGCTAATGAATAGTCTATTGAGATCCTCCTCTGAAACCTCCCTTAAAATCCCCACCTTTAGCCCTGGCTAGTTTGGCTCAGTGGTTAGAGCATCAGCCTGTGGTCCAGAGAGACCCCGGTTTGGTTCCCACTAAAGGCATGTACCTCAGTTGCAGTTTGTCCCCAGCCCTGGTTGGGTTGTGCGGGTGGCAGCCACTCGATGTGTCCCTTTCACATTGATGTCTCTCTCTCTCTTCCTCTTTCTCCCTCCCACTCTATCTGAACAAAAGAAAAAAAAAAATGTCCTCAGGTGAGGATAAAAAAACAAACAAAAAAATTCCCACCTTTAGAAAAGAGATAAAAGCCCTTAAGACAAAGGACACAATGCACGTTTTCCCTGGAACAAACCCTTGCCCCACCCCCAGTTTCCTTCCTGGGGCAGCTTTCCTTCTCCTAAGTTCTGTGGGTTCCCAGGAGACTTGCAACCAGGGAGCAGTGGGCAGTGGCAGCTTGTCCTGGGCTTACCCTCTGAACCTGTCTCCAAGGGCCCTCCGTTTGGCTCTGTAATTTGTTTCCTGAGTCCATGCAGCCCAGCTGGCTCACTTCTCCCTCTGTGACTTTCTTCCTTGAGGGCCAAGGCAGCAACGCCTAGACTTGACTCTTCCTCATTTCCAAAGGACCAAGGTTGCTCCACCCAGGCTCACTCCTGTTGCTGTGGTTTTGCCTCTTCTATCTTAAGTCCTTCCTTTGTTTCACTGTCCCCAGCTTTAATAAACCTACTCTCAGAATCACCTGGGCTCTTGTCATGAAATCTTTCCTGCGTGAAGTCAAGAACACACACATTCCAGACCGTGCCAGGGCAGACCCACCTCGGTCCTGGTCCCTTTCCAGTGACAGCAGCAGTCTCTCAAACATTTTATATTTTTCTGTCACAACTGCCAAAAGGAGTTGGCATAAAAAACATCACATCTAAATATGAGGAAAATCCAATATGGCTTTACTGGTCTTACCCGTGTACCTCAGACCTCTTTTGAGTTGGGCAGGGTAGTCTAAGGAGAAGGCGAACATGATAATATGGTGATCACATTTTGTTGGCAGTGATTTGAGGTTCTTATGTCCTTTGCCTCAGTTTCCTTACGAGCAGAATAAGAAGGTTTAAACAATGTTACCAGCTGGTTATCTCTTGGGCACTGTGTAAACTATGTACTTATAAAGTTTATATGGCGCTTGGAGGGTGAAAAGCACTAACAAAGAATCATTACCCAAGCCATAAAATAATACAGTGTAATCATCAAGGAGGCTTTGTACCAGATGGTAGAAAATCAATCGCGCTACATTTTTATATAATATGTGTAAATCATGTTTACTGCACAAAGCAAGAGTACACTTGAAACTTTGTTAATAATGCAATTGGTCATTTTTGTTTCATTTTGAAAACACATCATCACTGTAATGTTTACTCTGATGTCAAGAGTTTCCCTGGGAGAGTTCTGAGGCCACTCTCTGACCCTGCCTTTCCCTTCTTCCTTCTTCCCTTTCCACCTCTTACTCCTCTGCATTTTGAGAGGCAACTAGATCTGATGTAGGGCCAAAAAAACAAACTATCTTAAGTTCCTCTTCTGTTTTTAAGGCCTGGATGCCAAAGGAGCTCACTGACTACCAGAATCAAAGCCCTGCTCAGTAGTGGAAGACTGGCTTACCTTCCATTTCATCACCTTTAACAACCTTTTAATCGTGTTGTTGTTTTTTCTTTGTTCTCTCTCTCTCTCTCTCTCTCTCTCTCTCTCTCTCTCTCTCTCTCTCTCTCTCCAGCACAGAAAATTTAGTTCTCTCTTTCAAGGTTGAAAAGACACAAGATTTGCTCTAGTTCATTCTCTTTGTAAATACTGACTGGCTCTTCCTGCATGTATTTGAATCTGTTTTCGAGCATTTGTTACCCTCTATGGTCCTAGGAAATAATAGTCACTGCTATTATTCCTGAAAAAACAAAAACAAAAACCAGCAACATAATAAAACCTGTCAGCATAATAAACATGCAACAAAGGACAGCCAAATTTGAGGCACTCTCTTTATTATTCAAAGGAAAATAAACCTGCTGAAGGAGTTAGCAGCTCAGGAGTTCATTGGCAATGCAGAACAGTGTGTGCAGTTAGGCACAGAGAGGACAAAATCCTCCCTAGTCTTCTACGTGCTAATTAAGTGAATAAGATGCTGTGAGCAGACAATTCAAAAAACAACAGCCAGGGCTTTCTTTGATAAATATGCTGAAAAGGGAGATTATCAGCCCTGGCTGTCATCTTCTGATGCTGACTCAGAAACTGCAGGAACCAGACCATCTGAGAAGCAGAGTCCCAGGGGTTTCCTTCTTACACACACCTCGGATCTTAAAACTGTGATTTCAGGGTAAGGTCCCGTGTTCGCCATCACCCTCTCCTGGTGCTGGGGCAACCATCAGTGTGCACAGGTTACAATCCTCTGGATTAGTTCCTGGAGCCCAGCAGGGTGTACACTCTAAGCCCAAGGCAGACTTGGGCCGCCGCCACAGGACTTGGCTGCAGGTGATCTGGGGTTGGTTATCTGGCTGCAGCCATCTGCTCACCGACTCTGTTCTAGGCCTGGCCTCCAGACTCCCCCTGTTTGGGGCTGGGGGGTCATGCAGGTCATGCAGACTGGCTCTGACAGGTATGAAAGTGAGTCAGCCAGGTTACTTGATTCTGCAGCAGCTGGCTATGCTCCAATTTCTTTGGTCTCCTGGGACTGACATGTGGCTTTTTGAAAAAGAAGTGGTGTCTTGAGTAGGTCCAAAGAGCCCCAAGGGGAAGTTTATCATGATGTTTTCTAAATTCATCTTTTTTTCACCTTGGAAGAGTTCTCTAAAACGGATTATTTTTCTTCACTTACCTACAGATATCATTTTCTGCTTCCTCTAATCCAAACTGATTGTCAAAGGCCAGCTGTATCCGGGTTTTCTCCTGGGAACGGAGCCGCCAGGTCAGGAGCAGGTTCCGGGGGTAGCTGTTTGGGAAGCGGGGACTCTGCACATGGCCGTTTCCAGTCACCTGGATGGTTTCGTCTCTTCGGTACAAGTCTGTGAGGTGATTGCTCTCTGTTAGTAGTCACAACTTGTAGAAATTAGTATGTTGCTCCAATTACAGGAAAGCAAAAAGAGAACAGTTTAAAACAGTCACATTTCAAAGCACTTCTTGATTTCGTTTAAAGACATAAGACCAAAGGGCAGCCTTCTGGTTAAACAAACAACATATATATTTCTCCTATTATCCCCCAGGTCCTCAGATTCCTCACAAATCTAGACTTGGAGCTGAACACTTTGTATGTGGGGGGCTCTGTTAACATTATATTTGATACGCAGAAATTAATAATTACCTCAGAACTCAGGTTCATTTTCACTGGAATGAAAATAAGCATATAATTTCAAATAGTTCATTCTTCCTCTTTTCAATGTAATATAAATAATTGATTTTTTTTCTTTTGCAGGGTTAGTGTAATATTATATCGTCACTGATCACCACAGGAGGTAGATAATAAATATTGCTGACTAAATGAACAAGTGAGTAAAAAACAAATTTTAAAAATCTAACGGTGTTATGACCATATAACTTCCATTCAAGTGACGTTTTTCAGTGGTTTCTCCATCATAAAAATCATAATTTTTTGCATTAGTTTTTAATGACTTCAAATTGGGCCAATTCATGTTTTATTTTCTGTTTGTTGTACAGTAAAGATTTTGTCTGGTCTTTGTCCTGGGTTCCTGAGAAGAAGCTTCTAAACCCTTAGAATTTTGCAAGTAATAGAAGTGTTCTTTTTCGCAGTAGGCACCTGGGACCACATCTGAGTTCATGCTAATGAGGCAATCTACTGGGAAGCCCTAATTAGTTGCAGAATGGGTGCTGGCCACCACGGAAAGACCAACATGTGATTACGAGACAGGCCCATAGCCAGGATGAGCGGAACAGGGAGACCGAGACAGATAGTTAAACAGCAGTTTGCAGCCACCTGGCAAATCCTATCTTCCCTAAACCAGGGACTCCTAAGAGTAAATGGTTTGCAAGTCTCCCCAACCAGAGGGTAAATAGCTTAAATCACTCTACTCAGGGAGACAGAGAGCAGAATCCAATTAGTGCCATTTGCCAACCACATCGAAGGACAAATGAAGTGAAGAGAATAAACCTCACTTTGGTACATCAGCATAAAGCTGGTGAATATTCTGCTGAAACCTTCCCCTGAGACCTCCCGTAAGATTCCCACCTGCAAGAGAGAAATAAAAGCCTCAAGACAAAGGGCCCATGGAGCGCTGTCCATCCCAGGAGCATGCCCTTGCCCACGGCCTCCTTCCCCCACAGGCACATCTCCTAGACTCTAAGGACCCCAGGAGGCTTGCAACCGGGGCGCAACGGAGAGCAGCAGCTTGTCCCAGACAAACCCCCTGACCCTGTCTCCAAGGCCCCTTTTCTCTGACTTCTTAGAGCCAAAGCAGCCCAGCCTCGGCTCATTTCCCCAGCCCTTCCTTGTTTTATTGTCCTCAGCTTTAATAAAATTCGCCTAGATGCATTGTAAATTTTTTTTCCTACCCAAAGTCAAAAATCCACACACTGCCAGTTGGGCTGAGGCAGACCCACCAAGGGCCAGTTCCCCTTTCCGGTACCAATGAGAAGATCTGGGCTCTGAGCCTTGACATCAGCCTGACCTCCCAACATCCCCGGAGGCAAGGACCATGGAGATGGGGTCCAACCACACTGCTGGGCATTCAGTCAATACTGCCTGCAGGATGAAACCCTAATACAAACTCTGGTCGCTGGGGCGGGTGAGCCTCCTAGTCGGTGACACACTGTCGTGCTGGGAAGGTCACCTGTCCAAGGAAATAAAAAGCTTCATGTGTGGGACCCTTCCACACTTGCTTGCCATGTATGTCTCTTTATTTGGCTGGTTCAGATTTAGTAAAACTGTAATTTTAACTATAGTGCTTTCTTAAGTTCTATGAGTTGCTGTGTGAATGAAAAGAAAAATAAAAGGGTTCTATGGAAAGTGGCCTCACAGGGTGACATGGTCACGGATTCCTAAGTGGGCCGGTCATGGTGGGTAGTCAGGCCCCAGGCATACCACATTTTAGTTAAAAAGTTTACTTCTGCCTTAAGCAAGGCCTGTTCATTGGTTCTGGGCATCTAGGTTAACTCACGTTTGAAGTGTCACAACCACCCTCAAAAATCACATACTCTTGTTAACTGTGCTGTAATCTGGAATCTCCTTGCCTTTCCCACCTCCATGTAATCGTCCTTAAATCCCTTCCTCAATTTAAAATGCATGAAAAAGATATATTGTTCCCCAGCATATATCTTCAGTTTGGCTCAAATAAACTCTCACCAAAATTCTCTGCAGGTTTGAGGCTGGTACAATATTCGCAAGTCAATAAATGTTATACACCACATAAACAAAATGAAAGATAAAAATCATACTATCATATCAATAGATGCTGAAAGAGCATACGACAAAATCCAGCACCCATTTCTGATAAAAATGCTCAGCAACCTGGGAATAGAGGGATCATATCTCAACATAATAAAGGTTATATATGAAAGAGCTACAGTCAACATCATACTCAATGGGCAAAAACTAAAAGCATTTCCCTTAAGAACAGGAACAAGACAAGGAGGCCAACATTCGCCACTCTTATTTAACACAGTACTGGAAGTCTTAGCCACAGCAATCAGACAGGAAGAAAAAATAAAAGGGATTCAAATTGGAAAGGAGAAAGTGAAACTGTCATTATTCGCAGATGACATGATACTATACATAGAAAACCCCAAAGACTACATCAAAAATTTACTAGACTTAATAAATGAATTTGGCAAAGTGGCAGGATACAAAATTAATGTCAAGAAATCGATGGCATTCTTATACACCAATGATGAATTCACAGAAACAGAAACTAGAAAACAATCCTATTTATCATTGTGGCAAAAAAAAAAAGATACCTAGGAATAAACTGAACCAAAGAAGTAAAGGACCTATTTGCAGAAAACTACAGGTCATTGAAAAAAGAAATAGAGGAAGATATAAAAAAGTGGAAGCACATACCCTGTTCATGGATTGGAAGAATTAACATTATTAAATGTCCATACTACCCAAAGTGATCTATAGATTCAATGCAATCCCCATCAAAATATCGACGACATATTTCACAGAACTAGAACAAATACTTCAAAAGTTCATATGGAACCAAAAAAAGACCTCGAATAGCCACAGCAATCTTGAAAAAGAAGAACAAAGTAGGAGGGATCACTTTACCAGATTTCAGGTTATACTACAAAGCCACTGTAATCAAAACAGCCTGGTACTGGCACAAGAACAGGTATATAGACCAGTGGAACAGAACAGAGAACCCAGAAATGGACCCAAGGCAATATGCTCAATTAATATTTGACAAAGGTGGCAAGAGCATACAGTGGAGTAAAGACAGCTTCTTTAATAAATGGTGTTGGGAAACTTGGACAGCTACATGCAAAAAAATGAAACTGGACCATCAACTTACACCATACACAAGAATAAATTTAACATGGATAAAAAACTTAAATGTGACTCATGAATCCATAAAAATCCTAGAAGAAACTGTAGGCAACAAAATTTCGGACATCATACGGAGCAGAATTTTCACTGATCCATCACCTAAGGCAACAGAAACAAAGGAGAAAATGAACACATGGGACTACATCAGACTCAAAAGCTTCTGCACAGCAAAAGATACAATCATCAAAATGGAAAGGCAACCCACTGTATGGGAGAGCATAATTGCAAATGATACATCAGATAAGTGGTTAATTTCCAAAATAAAGAGTGCTCATACAACTCAACAAAAGGAAAACAAAGAACCCAATTAAAAAATGGGCAGAGAAACTAAATAGACACCTGTCCAAACAGGACATGCAAATGGCTAAAGACATATGAAGAAATGCTCAACATCACTAATCATCAGATAGATGCAAATTAAAACAATGAGGTATCACCTCACACCTGTCAGAACGGCCGCCATCAACAAATCATCAAACAACAAGTGTTGGCGAGGGTGTGGAGAAAAGGGGACTTTAGTGCACTGCTGGTGGGAATGCAGACTGATGCAGCCACTATGGAAAACAATATGGTGTTACCTCAAAAAATTAAAAATTGAACTTCCATTTGACCCAGTGATCTCACTTCTAGGAATATATCCTAAGAAGCCCGAAACACCAATTATGAAGAATATATGTACCCCCATGTTCATAGAAGCACTATTTACAATAGCTAAGATCTGGAAACAGCCCAAGTGTCCATCAGTAGATGAATGGGTAAAAAAGCAATGGTACATATACACAATGGAGTACTATGCAGCTGTAAGAAAGAAAGATCTCTTATCCTTTGAGGTGATATGGAGGGACCTGGAAAGTATTATCCTAAGCGAAACAAACCAAACAGAGAAAGACAAGTATCATATGATCTCACTTATTTGTGGAATATAATGAACATAACAGTCTGAGGAATGGGGTACTCCCAGAGACGTGGAAATGGGGTACAAACTGACAAGCCCCAGAAGAAGGGATGGTGTGGGAGAGATAAACCACAGAATTTATATGCATGTATGCATCAACAATGGACATGGACAACAAAGCTGGGGACAGGGCGGCGAGGGAGGGGGAGGAGGGAAACGGGGGGGGGGGAGAAACAGCTGTAACAAAAATAAATAAATTAATTAAAATAAATAAATATATAAATTTAGAAAATATTTTCCAAACAAAAAAAATACTCTGCAGGTTTGAACTGTTCTTATATCAACACTAGCAATTTCTCACACCTGAGGGGCTTGTGGGAAACTGAGTGTGTAGCCAGTAGGTCAGGAGTATGGGTAGCCTGAGGCTCTGAGTTTGTAGCTGGGTCTGAAGTTGTGTGGTCGGGACTGGCCCTTCCCCTGCAAGCTGAGGGAACTCTGGTAGCTCACGCCAGACTTACATCGCACAGTGGATCCGTTTCTCATTTCTCCCAATATCCAGAGTTCTCTGCCCTTTACATGATGGCTTTTTAGGCCTCTGCATAAGCAGACTTCCAGCTACGGTCTACTTC